GATGGACGAAAGCTCGGTTCTTTTTCACCCGAAACGAGAGACGAGGTCGCATGGACTGCGTCAACCTGAAGATCGTATAGAAACCAAACGGCTGCAGTACAACGCGATTCAACCGTCCTCTTCTTCCGGACAGATTGACCCACAAATCTCTTCCTCGTGCACTCTTGTATGAAATGAAAGTTATTTCAGGAGCTTCATCGAAACTCACTTTCGCTTCGTGTCTACAATGTCCCATTTTTGTTTTTGTGTCTTTTTGTCTACACCACCTTCCGATTCTACATACCCTTCAACGACAGCATTCCGACGTCTCGAGAGGCCCGAACCATCGGGTTTTCATGTCACATCGAGTTTTGCATGCACACACACAAACCTGTGGCCGTTCGTGTGCATCGCGTCCTCTCCGGACAGACGTGTGCGCCCAGTATGTCAGTGGAGCTTTCGGTTCTGCTTAAAAGTTAGTTTAACGGGATCTAGGAGCCGAATGAGAATGGTATTTCTATTGAAAAGACATCCTGCCAGTCCAGCTGTGGCTAACATCGAGTCTAACGTCTGGCCAGGAATGGGCAATATCTGCTTTTTTTCCGACGGCTTCTCTTACAAGTCTGGAGCGTAAGGAAGTCACACTTTTTTGTCGGTGTTCGGTCAGGCCAATTTACCAATTCCTTCCATTCAACTTGTCAGGCCGACTGAAAGGTCCCATGACGTAAACTCAACAAGGCGCTCGTTGAAATCTGGCCTTTCTTCATACAGCAGCGACTGCAACAATTCCTATCTCTTCACTGTCATTCAGAGGAGGCGTGTGTCTTTTCTTTTCCTTTTCCTTTTACTTTTAACTGTAAACTCATCTCTGCTAGAATGAGTGCATAACTTATGTGACCTTAATTTTATTTTCCTTTTGATCATTATACTCTTGACTTCAACAACTAGCATGCGGATACAAATTCGACGTTCTATTCAGCGCATGGCGCCCAGCATAATTCTGATAAACCGTTTGAGTGTGAATCTAGTCCGGTTCATGCACTTTCTGGGCAAGTCGGGCCATTCTCGAGCCTTGTCCGAGTCCTGTGACTATCACATTCTGTGCAGTACCATTTAATGACATTGTGCCTGGGTTAAATTAATTAATATTAATTAATATTAGTTGTGGGAGCTCGAGACTTGATGGCGTATAGTGAGTCTTCCTCTCTGTTCGCTTAATGGCTTTATTCCCTAATGCATCAGCACACGAATGCATATTTACGTCCTGTCTTTTTTTCTCTTTGAATCCTATTTTTATGGTGAATTCCGAATATCTTTACGATGACAATTTCAGGCGAGAACCATCACAAAGCATGGTTAGACATCTCCATTCACATTTTATCTTTTACTTTTGAAACTATCGGTAGATTTCGAATATGAAGTTGAGTCATTCTAGGTCGTTTAAGGAGGCTTAAGGGTTGCTAATTTAGTTTCCCCAAAATATATTCTCCTCAAATCACTTTAGGCACTCTACTTTGTCGCTTGTTCATACAAATTCTGCCCCATCTGCCTTGACGGCATGCAAAACCTATTTCTCATTCACACACACACACACACTTAATTGTGAAGACACGTCTATTCTCAGGCCTTGAACCAAATGGCTGAATGTTCTTTTGCCTTTATACATGCTCACTAATATTTCCATGTTCACCAATGCATACACACACGCGTTGACATGCCAAAATAGACTATCGCCGCCAGAGCCGAAGGCGCCATCTTGATGCGGCAATCGACGAGCCCGACATACGGACCCGCTTCTCCCTCTCCGCCGGCTCCCAGGTACAATACCAGCCCGTCTACTCGTCTCGGTCGGGAGGGAATCTGCAGCCTGCTCCAGCTTCACAATCGTCGGCCGTACTGCCACAACATCAGACCTTGCTGCCGCCGCCCCAGCCACCAGTCCCCACCTTCGGTAGCCTCGATTCTGCTCAATTATTCGTGAGCCAGGCCTACAGCTTCCTGTTCCAGTTTGAGCCGACCTTTGAAGTAAACTGTCACTCTTTTTCTCTTCCGCATTGTCGACTAACTTTCGTCTTGATTACAACTAACTCGTGTCGCCATGACAATGAGGCAAATTTTATAGCCTTTTCGACTCTGACTTCTAGTATCAGATCCGAATGGCATCACTCATCGTTAGGTGTGAATACCAGTTATCCGGGTGAAATTTCTCTTTATTAGAGTAGGGTTTCGAGACTACCAGTAAATCTCGAAACCCTACTCT